ATTCACTATCAATTGTTTTTATTTTGATTCCAGGGTAACCTAAACAGTAGAAATGCTATACAATTTATAATATTTCCAAAATTTCAAAAACATACATATTAACTTTTCAATTTTTAACGAGTTCAACAAGAGGCCCATCAGCCTGGAAGGTAATTTGCATGTTTTAAATGTTGCTAATCGTCTCCTGCTTATTTTAGAATTTGCTTAAAAACATAGAAAAAATAAGAGCAAAGAAACATGTACTTTATCCCTGCAACTGTTATACTGAATCTGCCTAATTTTCCTTTGGTCAGACTGTTGCTACACACAGACTGTTGGCTTAAACCAAGTGTGATACAATTTGGAAAAAGTGTTTTAATCTCAAACCAAAAATTTTGTTGTTAATGGAAAGTACTATATTTACTTCACTTGGACAAAACATGTTTGTCAACTTTATCATCCTTCAACTTTTAAAGTGAAAAGTTCATTATTGGTCTAATTAAAACCATTTGTGGAAACTTTCTTTAACATCATTCAAAGTGTAAATCCAATAATATATGATATAGTGATAGTGATATAGGATTTTATTTTTAAACAATGCCAAAGCAAGGCATCGCACTAGCGATAATTCATAAAAAGTATGTTTAACACATCCCTTATGTTGCAAATAAGTGTCTTGTTAGGTCACATACACAAACTCATTGATTGGTATGAAGTTTGATCAAAAGCCATTGAGGAAATGAAGTTGCAAGCGCAACAGTAAATATTTCCTAAAAATAGTAAGTGACTCTCAGGTTGACCTTTGGAGGTTGAAACACAAACTCCTTAAAGGTTTCTGATACCTAACAAATATATGAAATTGATCAAAATCTACTGAGAAATAAAGTCGCAAGAGCCATGGTAAATAGTTTCTATAAATAGTAACAGTGACCTTGAGGTTGACCCTGGCATGTTGACACATGAACTTGTTCAAGGCAATATATTTACATATCCCCCTTCTTCCGCTTAGTAGGCTTTGACTGTGAACATTATAGCGTAAACGCAGTGTAAAAAGGCTTGGCGGATTGATATTCTTTGAAATATGGCGCCGTTCACGCTTCGGAAAGATAACTGTCCAGTAATATCCACTGGTTATAAGTTTCATGATTTTGATGCTTAAAGCATAACCGGGACACTTCATTTATCATTATAAACCAAATAAAATTTGATAAAACTCTTGTTTTCCGAATATGCATTCGATTTACTTTGATGGAATCGCAACAATGGCGGCTACATTCTGAAACGTTTGACCGCGTCACTAACTCAAGGGTCTATTCAATGCGCGTACATGACGACCGTTGAAAAGGGAACTACTTGTTCAAAATTCTTCAAATTACTTAATTTGAAATTCTAATGCTCTAAAACTTGATGAAATAATGTTGTTTTATGCGGATTTTAAATTTTCTAATTACTCATTATTGTCCATCCATGAGAACAACATTATCCTGGAAACGACGGCTACCGTAGTTACCATCTTAGCAACCCGCTTCGACTTGTTTTTTGCAAAATTATGACATTTTAACAGTTTTTGGATGTAAATATAAGGATTGACCTTCATTTTGACTGCGTATACGTAGTATGAACACAGTTGGCAACGAACATATTCTTTATGGAGTGCTAACGCGCACCATAGAATATGTTCGTTGCCAACTGCGTTCATACTACCGTATACGCAGTCAAAATGAAAGTCAATCCCTATATGATGCTTACACAATATATGAAGTTTGATCAAAGATCATTGAAAAATGAACTCGCTACAGCAATGACAAATATTTTCTATAAATAGCAACAGTGACCTTGCCATTGATCTTGGCATATTGAAACATGAACTCTTTCAAAGTATTCTGATACTCAAGCAATAGATGATAGATGAAGTTTCAAAATCCATTGAGAAATAAAGTCGCTAGAGTGATGACAAGAGGTTAAGTACTTGCGTACATACGAACAGAATGCTACCCCCCCCCCCCCCCCCCCCCATTTGGAAAATATTGAAGTATACTTCCTAAAAATCTTTTTTCTTTTTTCTTTCTTTTTTTTTTACACAAAGTGAAATAATCTCTTCCCCTCAAGAGATTACTGATTAATCGGGACAAGCAATTCACATCTTAAGTTATGAAAATTAAGACACTTCCATCCATAAACAGTGTTTCCTGTAAAAAAAAAACAGTAAAATTTACCCCCTTCCCAAGTGAACATTGGAGACCCAAGGATCAGGAAATTCATAATTCTTGTAAACCTCTTATAGACCTTTCCATGTACATACATGTACATAAACAGTGTTTGATTTTAGCATATGTGGGTCTTAGGAAGAAGCTTTTCAAAATTTTAGCTACACTGACCCCTATCACCCCAGGTGCCCTGGAGAACTCAAGGGATAGAAAACAATATAATTCACAATGTTTTTCAACTTTGGCCATGAAATGCTTCCGAAAGACTTTATCAAAATTAGTTTAAAGAAGTTTGAAATTGAAGTCTTTTACAGGCGAACGATGCACGACACGGGGCAAAAAGGATTCTGCAATAGGTCACCAAGAACTTGACTTGTGTGACTAAAATATTAATACGAAGTAGTTGTCAATCATATAAACACGGTAAATTACCAATTAACTGTCAATAAAAGAAGTTGAAAAACAAATATCAAACTAAAAATCAAAATCGATGTTGCTGCAAGAGTATTGTTTAAGTATACACACACACAGTAATCAGTACTAACACTTAAGAGTACATTGGCATCATGTTAAAACCTTTCAGTGCTTTGAATGGTTCATGTTTGATATTTTTTTGATTATCAAATGGTTTGCCCGCTGATGCAAAATGCCTCCTTTTCTCCTAATAACTTTCCTTATTTTGTCGATGTCAGCTCTTTTGGGTGTTGTTTTGGTTTCAAGATATGTTGGGAAATATTTTCTCAATTCCGAAACTTCTTTGTCAGACCATTTTTGTCTTCGGTGGTTTTTGTTTTTGTTTTTTTCCTTTTCTTCATCACACTCCTCCTCCTCCTCATCATCATCGTCATCAGCCTTATCTTCTTCATCACAATAGCCTGATTCCAATAACATTACTTCTTCTGGACTGACCTGGTTCTCAGGGACTGAACTACAAAAAAGTAAGAGACATGGATTCAAATCATCTGGCTATACATAAAAAAATGTTTGAAAAAATAATAATAATAATCCCCATAGAGGAAACTAACTGAATAGCTTAAACTGATTTTTTTTGCCTTAATATGTTTCAATGTCAAAAAATTGTGGTGGCCACAACTATTTATTAATGGATTTTGACTCCTATTTAACTCATCCAAGGTGTAATATAATATATAATATAAAGTTTTATTAAAATCTGGGAAAGAGATTGAATAATCCGACTGAAAATAGACCAGTCTGAAGCAGTATGTCTCTATCCAATCTTTGATCTCAGGGAATCTTAAAAAAAAACAAAACAAAAAAAAAAAAAAACAAAGGACTGACACTATAAAGAGTTTGTTCAGGAATCAAGTAGACCTTGGCCTTTAGTAAATTCAGATAAATTGACAGAAACACCAAAACATGTAACAGAACTGATACCGTAGTTAGGTAACAATATCTCCCATCCCCATTTTAGAGAGGATGATATATGACAAAGGTAAAAAATTGTGCAATATGTTTAAACATACAGTTGATCTGAACGACAGGCACCAACATAGTCAGCTTCTAGGTCCTCAGGAAAGACAATATCTGCAATAAAAATGAGAAATATGTATTTGAAGCCTAACAGTAAGAGACCAATGGCCCTTACCAGTCAACTAACCATATGATTATCGGTGATGTAGTTTAAACATGTACTTTTCATTCAACTATTACACCAATCAATCTAACCTCATTTGGTAGGGACCAGGTACAAATGTTATTTTTCAGTTTCAAAAACCCTGAATCACAACATAAATTATTCAAAATTAGCTTTTTTTCATTTGAGTTTTTGATGTTCTTTTACTTTTCAAACCTTTAAAATGAAGTAGGGAGAAAGCCATTCATTATACATGCTTGCAATTCCAGTTAACTGGGGAAGGCTCTCCTCAAACTTCACATCCAAAGGTTTTTGATATTGTAGACTGTAAAATCACATTTTTGTGGGGTTCAATTTTCGTGGTTTATCAGAATTATGCATTTTCATGGACACTTACTTTCCTGAATATACACAAGTTACTTTATCTGCCAATGCATTTTCTAATATTCGTTGAGAGATGAATTCGTGGATTGAGAGTACCCATGAAAATTGACAAAATTAAACCCCCCAAGAAAATTAATGATTTAACAGTTTGTTGCCAATCAAAGTAACTATATTACAAAACATTATTCACCTTTGATATCCACTTCATCCAGTCGCTTCCCCTTGAACCTAGATGTAAGGTTTAGGTCCTGTATCAAAAATAGTTTGCTTATTTCAGTTCGTTCCACTAAACCAGACATCTGTCTGTAGTGTTCTTTGTGAACAGCTTTTGTGTGTCCCAAGTGTTGACACACCCAATCCAGCTGATTTCTATTCAAGTTCAGCATCTTTTTGAAAAAGAAAATACACTTCAAGTAATAATATTTTTTCAAGCAGTACCCCAAAATGGTGAGTAACGGTGAAAACAAAGATATTTCAAGAGACTTAATTATTTGGTAACAAACTATCAATGTCAAATTGCAAGATGACCATCTGCAGCAATGTGGTCTTTCAAATTCAACCAAAAAATGTACGAAGAACAACTAGATACCAAGGGAACCCATATTTGCATATTTGATTTTGAGAAAGATCCTTTTTGAGAATAAGTGGTAACAAGATTTGTTTACTGATGTATGGACCACAGAAGAAAGGTGAATTGATAAGCTTACCATCTCATGATGGCTAAATTGTGTCACAGAATCTTGGATCTATTTATTTTTCAAAGGTTTGTTTTTCGTAATGGTAGCAATGTCGGATTATGGATGAAACAGATTCCCGACCAAAACCAACTCTGGTCAATTTGGGCAAGTTTCAGCTAAATTCTATGGGTGGCAAATTTAAAATGTGGAAAGGTTATGCATGGTACTCAAGGACTGATGATAAACACCGACTATATACTGAGTGACCATGAGTGCTTAGCTGAACCAAAAACAGCAAATTTTTTTTTTGTAACAAAATATAGCTATCAATAAAAAAATTACCAAATGAGTCATTAGTTGATTAGACATATCAAAAAAAAGTTATTCTTTTGCCTAAAAAGACAACAAATTATCTCAAGATTAATGAATTTGTTATTTCAACTTTAAGACTATGGAATTTGCTGTTGTACATACTATGCACTGCAATATATGCAACTTCTTAAAGTGCATTTTCTTTTCAAAATTAATGAAATTTATTCAGGTGGACTCTTTATCGCATGTAGTTCTACATTCCATAACAAACCATGTCATTTCAGAGGGGAGTATCAGTTATGAAGGTGGATCTAAATTTTGTGATTTTTTGTGGGAAAACAGATTATGATATAAAACGAAAAATGCAACCACTTATTCAGTTACACATTACAGCTCTAAAACAATACATGTATGTTAATCATTAAAGTATACCCTTTGACTTGGATTGTTATGGTACAACAATTATGAAACAGATTTGATATTATAATATTGATAATCACTCTTGTTGTTCCATATGTCGGGACACAGCGGGTCTTACCTGGGTAAGTGTTGCCGTATATTTCCTCATCAATACCGAGGTAATGTGGTGAGGTGCCTGAAGATGAAGTTGGCTGCACACAGATTTCAAACAATCATATGCCCTGGTATAAGCGTTTGCTGAAAAAGAAAAAATACATTATCAGGAATTTACAAACTGTGTTCAAACATTACAGTTAAAATAAATATTGACATGAATGCTTGTGATTAAAATTACAACACGGAAAGGATTTCTTACAGCATTTCGCATGACGAACTTCAAGAAAATAATTTGGTTTTAAAATATATCAACAATAAATAGCATCGTATACTGAATGGCATCATGTACTACAGCACTTATCTACAATGCTAATAACATCAAACAATACGAAACAGCAAAAAATCATCACCAACAATATACTCTCAAGTATACTCTAAGTTATAAAATGGACCGGTGGTGGATCAATCCCCAAACAGCTTGTCGGAATAGACTATTAAAGATAACTATAATCAAATGGGCTATATTCATATTTCAAAAACTATAGTTTAAATTGCAAATAATAATAATAATGGAAAAAAAAGGACTATTGAAAACATTTAAATACTACACTTTAGACCTTTTCACAAACAACAATAGTTCACGACCAATTTGAATGATATGAAAATCAAAACATCTTGGACATACAGGGGCATCACGTAACTTGATTCTCGTGTCACATCAGCTTTACTGTAAACTAAAAAGTCAGATTCTTCTGAGTTATATTCTTATTCAGGTAATATTTGCATTAAACCAAGTATGGAGCTCTGGCTCACTACACATGGCTTAAAAGTTTCATCATAATAGTTTAAATTCAGGCCAATTAGCAAAAACGTTTATTCGTAACCTTAAAGGATCTGGTGTACACTTTACACACTTATGTTCCATTTTCTGATGTAATCAGTCAGCTACAAAATGTCAAATTAAGATTTGATTTGATTTTGTTTTATGTACATCCTATTAATAGCCAGTCATTTACAGATGTACCATTCCAAATTTAGTGTATATTGAAATATTCATTTAGCAGGTCTTTTTTGGCATGGGTGGAGGTAGGTACAAGGTAGATAATATTGTTTAAAAAAAAAAAAAACTACATGTATTTGGAAATAAGTAGGGATTGTCATCCGCTACTCCTGCCTTTTTTCGGATGGCTCTGTCGGAAAGAAATCTCAATGGTAGTCTAGTGTCCTCTGGGATAAGAACTGGCACTGGTCTCCCTCTCTGAAACAAAAATTACCAACATTGCAAAAATTATCCAAGCAGCCTAATATTATAAATCTGCCATTATATTAGCACTTTTTTAATAGCCATTTTCAAATCGATGTCCTTTAAATCATCCTCAGTTGTACACAGTTGGTGCAAATATGGTAATTTCATACAAACTATCTGCACAGGGACATAGCCTGTAGGATATCAAAAGCAGTTAGGGTAAAGTGTCTTGCCTAAGGACACAACCAACGACAGCACAGACCGGTCAGTCCTTGGCTTCCCAAGAAACACAAACCGAGACCGGCAGCAAGCCGTTAACCACAACAAGAACAGTAAGAGGTGGTTCAAAAATCAGCCAGTCGGTAAAAACAAACTTTCCGTCATGTTTAAAACAATGGCGAACAATGCTGGTCTTGTCGGGGAAAAAAAACAATCAATCTCTCCAGAAAACTCTGTGCATTAAATTTTATATTCTGGATCAGCGGACACAAAAATGTAAACAATTATGCTGTGGCGTCTATATAGACCCCTTGCAGGTAACGTCATCATTACCACATCCCCGGATGTCGGCCATATCGGAGGTATAGATTAAGCGCATGGTTGATCATCTACAAAGCAGCATTTAGAGTCGTGTTGTTACCAATTATGGTGAACTATTGTAGAGTTGTTGGATGTACGAACAGGTCAGATCGAGAGACAGAAACAGTTTTTCAGACTACCAGCTGTTGTAAGAAACCAGGGAGATGCCTGCAGAAAGTTGTCCGAAGAAAGACGACGACGATGGATTGCAATTCTAAACCAGGATTTCACAGACAAGAATTCAATGTGTACAGACTCAACTGTAGTGAGGTTTGAAGCGATGAGACTTGAAACATGACGCTGCTGAAGAGATTGCGTAAGAATCGAAATCTGGGGTGAATGTGGCTTTCACGGTAAGATATCAGTCTTGTCTAACATCATGTATAACGTTATGTTAATCATTCATAAACTGATTAACTAAACAAAAATCACCTGGAAATATCACTGGATCCAACGAAAACGTTATGATAATTCTGCTTTTGGCACCCTATTGCAGGCAGTGTCGACTGTATTTGTCTTTTAAAAGAAAGTTTATTATCGAATGACATGAAATAATCATTTATTTACAATGACATATGGCAATAAATAATATTTTATACCCAAAATCAAAGCATGGTCAAAGATAGCATTTGGACGGGTTGTTGTAAAACTACTGTACGGGTTGTTGGAATTTTAGACAATTCAAATGTACGAATTGTTGTGATTGAAACTGCTGTCGGAAGACCAAATGTGTCTAAAATTAAGCGTTTGTCTTTAGTGTATTTCAACAGGACGTCATGATTGATTACTAACAATACAGTTGTTCATATTAATTGATTGCATAATGAATTGTGGCTATTTATTTCATTTTTTTTTTCGCGAATATTTAATGTCATTCCTTGTTTCATTTCAGATAATGGAATACCGTTGCTACTATTGTGACAGAGAGTCACCGGTATTTGCTGAATTGATAGAGCACCTTTGTACTTCACACGGAGAGGAAATATTGAAATTGAAAACAGCTCAGCATGTATCAACAGGATACGTGGTCCAAACCAAAAACTTTCAGATTATACCAGACGAAATACAAAAACAGGGAAAATATATAGAGGCGGATGATGAAACTTGCACAATTAAAATAAAGAAACATGCTGACCAAGTATCTTCGCCATATTGCAAATTCCAATGTACATCCTCTACACCATTCAAAACAAGTAAACGGTTGTCATTTCCAGATGGTAACATATCGGATGCAGAAAATGACACACACAACCAAAGTTCTTCCTTTCGCGACGAACACAACTTAAGCTCTTACTTCCAGGAAATCTCTTTACTGGACCAGGAACATTCCAAAGATATTTCAAAACAAACAGAAACAGATGCTTTTGAAAAGGATGAATTGTACCAAGAAATCTTACACTTACTGCCAGGTGTTATTCAAACTTTGAAGGACAGCAATATGACAGATATGTATTTAAAATTCAACGACCTCTTGAATCGGAAAGCATTGCCAATGAAAATAAGCAGTTCTGGAGAATTGGAATGAAATTATTCAAGGGCAAATTTTTGAGATTCATTGGGGGTGGGGGGGTGGGGGGGGGGAGGGGAATCAGAAAGGACACACGGAACCACGCGAATCCAGCATCAACTTTGCAGTACCGCAGTCGTCATGTTTGGAAGATACCAATCCGTCGCGAAAATTGAAATGCATAAAACCAGGGATCTTATATGAAATGATCGAAATTGCAAGTGGTGATGATGCTGACCAACACAAAACTTTCAAACTTTGTATAGGCGGGAAAAAAATCAATACTGGGGCAATAGATCAGAAAGAAGGGGATGGAGATTTATGGGTTTATGAAGCAAATCCAACTCTGTTAGAGCGGCAAAACGACCTAAAGCAGGATAAAGAACTTCTTCAGCAGTTTTCAATCCTATTGGAGACATTGGACTCAAGGGATATTGTTGTGTATTCTGTCAAAGTGGGTATACTTTAGGAGCTGTGTACAAACGACACCAGACAGTGGCGGCCATTTCAGGAACTACCTTTTTATTGTACATCTCATATTCATACGCCAGGATAGTGTAATACATAAAACGACATTCCGGATCTACACCCACATATATGTAACACTGCCCCCCACCCCCTTTTAGTTCTGAAGACAGTTAATTTGAAAATTAAACAAATGTCACGTTCATTTTTTTTTTTTAATTTATAAAAAATGAATAAAGCAACTTTCACCACTGACCAGTCTTACATCTTCTTATTTCAGTCAGTCAAGATTATCACAACGGTTAAACTAAAAACAACTAGCTACTTGACTAGAAACAATAAATGAGAATTATGCTAACTGACTAGATTAACAAAGAAACTTGCATAGAGCCTGAGGCTCTGCAGATCACACAGGATTATTATGCCCGTACACACCATGATCTGACCCTACAAATCTAACCTAACCGGTGCTCTCCGATTAGTTCGCACAGGGTACCGATGTTCAACCCTTGTCATAGGTGACGCTTTCTTGCTTGAGTCCTTTGGGCTGTTTACTTTACCAACATCCTGGGGAACACTGGAGTTTGTCACGGTTGTAGGCTTGGCAATCACCATATCGGCCTCTACGGGATGCTCCACCAATGGGTTCTCGGATACATCCTTAGGGACCGACCCCAGAATTTGATCGGTGTGGCGTCTCCAGACCTGTCCTGGTGAGGTTTCCACTTTGTATGAAATGGGACCTGTTGTTGCCTTTACAATTCCATGTGCCCATTTGGTATCTCCTCTGTAATCCCTTAATTGGACTTGGTCACCAACTTCAAAACTCCTAGTTTTACCCGGATTGCTGTCCTTACACATTCGAGCTTGCGCCTTTTCCACTCTCTCCTTCAAGTTAGGCCGTGGCAAGTCCAACCTTGTCCGTAAATTCCTACCCATGAATAGGCTTGCAGGTGTCTCTCCTGTAGTGGATTGGGGCGTGTTCCTATAGGACATCAGAAAACATTGTAGTTTCCTCTGTATCGACCCGCTATCCTTCAATGCTGACTTTAGTCCCTGTTTGAAAGTCTGAACAAACCTTTCTGCGAGTCCGTTCGTCCTTGGATGATATGGTGCAGATGTAATGTGATGGATCCCATTTCCACACATGAAATCTTGAAACTCAGAAGAAACAAATTGCGGCCCATTATCACTCACTAGTTGCTGAGGGATTCCATTTCTGGCGAAAATACACCATAGCACTTCAATGGTCTTTGAGGCTGTTGTAGAACCCATCTGAACGACCTCGGGCCACTTGGTAGTGGTGGACGCCCAAGAACATACTGTTTAGGAAGGGTCCAGCAAAATCCACATGGATCCTTTGCCAAGGTGTCATGGGGAATTCCCATGGGTGAACTGGCCCCTCTTTTGCTGTGTTTCTGTTACCCTGACAACCATTACAGTTCTTAGCGAGCTGCTCAAGATCCTTGTCAATCCCTGGCCACCATACATGACTCCTGGCGAGAGCTTTCATCTTGACAATTCCCGGATGTCCTGAGTGGAGTTCCTCTAGGACTCGAGGTTGCAGTTCTTCTGGAATTATCACTCTAATTCCCCACAGCAGAATGCCTTGTTGAACGGTAATATCATTCCGTCGGTCATAAAAGGGTAATGCTGCTTTGTCCTCCTGTGACCACCCGTGTAAAACGTCATTCAACACTTTACAAAGAGTTGGGCTCTTTCTGATCCCTTTCACAATATCTGAAGCTGAAACAGGTAATGTTTCAATCTGGGAAACTTGGAACAGGTGTGACTCATCTAAAATCTCTCGTTCACTCTGTGTCCGAGCTGATTTTAACTGAAGACGTGATAGCCCATATGCATTCCCATGCAGCTTAGTGTTCTTGTATTGTATGGAGTAAGTATAACCTGATAGGAAAACTGCATATCTCTGCATGCGTGCTGACGCGCTTACAGACATTCCTTTAGACGGACCAAAAATAGAGACTAATGGCTGATGGTCTGTGATTAGTGTGAAATGTCTCCCATATAGGTAAGCGTTAAAATGTTTAATTCCCCAAATTATAGCCAAAGCTTCCTTATCAATTTGGGAATAATTTCTCTCCGTTGGATTTAACGTGCGCGAAGCAAACACGATCGGGCCACTCGGCATGACATGAGACAGGACTGCACCCAAGCCGTATGGTGAGGCATCACAAGCTATGGAAACAGGTAGGTTTGGGTCATAATGAGCTAAGACCTGCTCTGATGTCATCTGTTCCTTTACCTTGACAAAGGCCTGTTGACACTCCCTAGACCACACCCATGGTGCATTCTTCTCAAACAGTTTATGTAAGGGTCTTAGAGTTGATGCCAAGTTCTGTAGGAACTTTCCATAGTAATTGACCAGGCCCAAAAAGGCTCTGAGCTGCGAGACATTTTCTGGTACTGCTGCCTCAACAACAGCTTTGATTTTCTCCTGAGTCTTGTGTAAGCCTTCCGCATTGATGACATGGCCACAGAACTCTATCTTGTCTTTAAAAATGTCACATTTCTCAATGTTTGCTTTTAA